TTCTTGTTGAGAATTCTTATAGCAAAGTGGGGCAGAACCAGTTCTAAGGCATTAGTGCTCTTGTTTAGGTAACAGTAATAACCTAGTTTATTCATGGAGCTTCATAATGAAACAGCTGAAATAAGTGTGATTTTCCATCTTGTTTTCTCTTTTTCCTATTTGATTTCCTGCACAAAAGTAATAACAATCTTGATATCCTTCTTGCAGATCAAACTGAAAGAGAGAAGGAAAACAGCTAATTAATTACCTTTTCTTTTTTGCCTTAGGAAACACATTACAATGAACAAAACCAGACCTATGTCTTCATTTCTCAGCCTATATGTCAGTGTTCTCCTGCAGTTGAGACAACTCAAAATGGTTTGAGACCAGTGTTTTTCAAACTTGGCAACTTTTAGCAGTGTGGACTTCGACTCCCAGAATTCTTCAGGTAGCATGCCTTTACCACAGTCTCATTCTCAACCAACTTAACCAGTAACTTAATCATCCAAAAGATACACCTAATAAGCAGATGACCAAGCTAAACCTGCCCACTTCCTTGGCAATGGCAGAATCAAACTCACTCCAGATAGCTATACAAAGCACCTGCACTAGAATTGTTCAACTCTTGAGTGGATTTTGAATGACATTATCTGCAAATACCAAGAATATTCCTCATATGAATGAGGAATGCAAGTGGAAAAATAAGGTTTTCAAAGCCTTTATAACCACAATGGGTTCTTTTTTGTGCTTGGTTGGATACACTCTTCATCTTTCTCCAACAGCATTATATGCATCTTTTCGCACTTTGTTTCTTGGAACTCCTTAGAAAACCAAGATGAATCCCAAAGCTAACATGGAGAGAAAAGTTACATAGGGATAATGTAATCTAAGGTTAGCAATAGCAATAGCAATAGCAGTTAGACTTATATACCGCTTCATAGGGCTTTCAGCCCTCTCTAAGCGGTTTACAGAGTCAACATATTGCCCNGGACCCTACCCACTCTCATGGCCTTCCGAAAAGCTATCAAAACCTGGCTATACCGGCAGGCCTGGGGCTGTTGACCTCTTGATTGAGCTCCATCCCCGCTTAGACTGGGTGCATGTTGTGTTTCTTTTAATCTGTTGTGTTTTATTTGTTTTTTTTTATCTTTTCTTAATATTTTTATTTCTGTAAGTCGCCTGGAGTCCTCCGGGATTGGGCGGCCTATAAATTTAATAAATAGAAATAGAAATAGACCTAAACTAGGCTGTTGGAGGTTGGTTGTTTCTTGGACAGCCTAAGATAAGATTCTTGAGGTGATTATGAATGGGAAGTCTAGGGTTGCTATAGAAGGAATCTTACCTTCACAGTTTTTGTGAGATGCTGAAGACAGAATGAAAAGAGTTCCCTAGTGATAGCAAATGCCTATCTTTCCCCCAAAAGCCCACCAGCTCATCAATTATATCTTTTTTAGATTTTACAGGAAATAGAGATGCTACGGAACACAGATGCAATAATGCATGAAGCCTTACTTTGCCACTAATGAAAACTGGGCAGTTCTATCTACAGTTTTCAAATGGACTCCAAATATATGCTATCTTTGCATAGATAGGAGTTTGTGTGTTATTAAAAGATGTACAGCATTCTCTTAAATAGGTTTTGAAAATATTTACTCAAAAAACATATTCTGAACATAAATTATCCATGAAATATTGTCTTCAGCCCTGAAAGTTTATTTTGTAGTGCTATTTGCTACAAATCCTTTGAAAATGAATGTAAGATGAGTTTGAACAGACCAGAATAAATGTTTGTTCTTAAAAAAAAACCTCTGCACAAAGAAACTGAAAATTAATTGCCATAAACTCTTCATTCATTTGCAAAGTATTAAAATATTTAAATTCTGTTAATTTTTCAACCATCAAAAATTACAAAAACATTTTCCTTTCTAGCTATTAATGGTGGAAAACACAACCAATTCTGGTTCTTACTAACTTGTATTTGACTTACACAATACTATCATGAAATGATTAGTGATCACTTGGTTATTTATTTCTTAATTATCTGATCATCACACTATGACTTTAATTCCAGTGAAATAAATTCAGTGAGATAAAACATTTGCAAATTTCAGCAACATTTCTTTATGTTTGCGTGTTGCTGTTTAAATAGACTTGCACAACCTGAGTTGTCAGGGCCACATGCCTTTATAACAAATAGATGGGTAATTTTTTAAAACAAAAGTATCTATCTACCAGAACTAGAGTGCTATTTAGCAGAACTCCTTTTACTCAAACAATAGATCTAAATGCCCAAGAAACATATCTAAATGTATGAATCAAAGATTGCAAGAGAAATGTGTGCTGTTACTGGAATTCCTCCTTCGGTTTAGAAGAAATTTAATGTCTTCTCAACATATAATCAATCTACGTTGTTACAATACTTATTATTCCAGAGGCCTAATCAGACAGAACTGAATTTTGTTAAGCAAAATTCATTGGCATGTATGAGAAAATTAACAGAAAGAATTTCACATATCCAGGATTCAGGCAATGAGCATATTTGTATTTATGCTGGAAAAATTAGCTATTACATTCATTTACGCCATCATATCTTGCTGCAACAATTTGATAACTAGATGGGTGCACAAAAATACAAAAAAATCTTTTTTCTGACCTAATTCACTATTAGCATAAAATGCAGTAGTTAAATTATTCTTCCCAGATGTTACTATGCAGATTCTCTTGATTTGAAAAACATAATGATATTAAGTGAGCTGAAGAAACAGACCAGATGGACTCAGCCTGAAGAACTGGCAGGCGATCAAACACCTCTATAGCTCTGGGAAAGACTCAGTTGGAGGAGCTGATTCAGATAATGAGGGCCAGATTCTGGAGAGACTAAACAATCAATTATGTGACAAGCACTTGGAGCTACCCAAGGCATTTATTAAAAAAGAATCCTTGTCTGCAGTTTTAATTTTTTTTTATCTTATTCAGAATCAAAGCTACTAAAATCTGTAAAATATAACAGAAAGGGGAGTTATTTAAAATCTAGCATATTCGATAACTTTCAATATATCTATTTGGGATACAAAGCAGAGCACAGTTTTAAAGTTTTCCAAACTTTACGTTATCGCAAATAACTTACAGCACTGTTATAGACAATATTTGTAACACTTTTGTCTTTCTCAGATTAGCAGACTGCTGACAATTCAAATTTCAAGCAAAGTTCTAGTTTTCTAGCTAATTATCTCTGTTACACTTAGGAAATTTACAATGGAGCAATAAAATCTTTAAACCTTGTGTTGCATAACTGGCACAGAACAGATATTTGCCAAAAAAATACCTCCCATGAGATTCTAGTTGAAATTTACTTATTACAGTAAATGTCATTTTATGTTGAGAAATTATATTTCTGGGTATTTAGGGCATGTCTTTTTCCTGAATAAGCAATTCCTTTTTTAGCAAAACAGAACAGATTAAACATTAATTAGATTAGTAAGATATAAACTTAGCTGACTCATAAAAATGTTCAATTTTTGTTCACTTTTTGTATTTAACATTTTATTTCATTCCTCTGCTGTGTTTAATTATGCATTTAACAGCATGAATATTTTATCAACCTAGGAAACTGTTATGAAGGTACAAATTTATTATCAACATTGAATAAAGTCAACAGATTCATTTAATTTATTCAAAATACAGTAACTTAATAGGATCCCTGCAATATCACTTTAAACCTGTAATATTCTAAATTTAGCTATATCAACAGACAATTAGGACTGGCAACTTGGTTATTAAGCAGAGTAGCCTACACATGTTAGATGGATAATCATGCTTTGCAAATGTACTCATAGGAAGCATGGTTTGGTCATGGACTCTTGGTATGATCAAACTGTAAAATCTTAGTCAGCTACAACTTGACTGTGGTCTTAGAATCTCTCAAACTGGATGGAAATCTTTTTTTTTCCAGCACAGTGCATTTTAAACGCTTTCCTCATTTTAAGTGCTGAGCTCAAAGTGAGAGAAAAATTTAGGGCATATTTTATTCAAAGTATGGTTTTTTACCTATTAGGCCTGAATATGGCAAGAGGATTTCCTTTCCCTGGTTTGTTACAACTACCAAATTTATTATTTTATTATACACCATGCATTATGTATATATCATGTGTTGTAAAAATCCTGAAAATTAAACACTGAAGGATCTTGGAATTAACATTTATATCAGTATTTCCTTATTTTCCCACCGCATATGCTTTCCTCCTCATCTACAGGCTGCCAAATGTGCAAATTATATTCACTTATTTCTTTGGTTGGGAAATAAGGAAAATGTGCATATATAAATTAAACATTCAAACAAATGTAGATGTGAACACATATGCTTTTTATCTATCTTTCTTGGAGTCCAGTCACCCTTTGCTCAATAAAAAAGGAAAATGACTTGGATTTCAAAGTTAATTAGGAAAGTTTCTGGACTGATGGATTCCGGACTGATTTTCTTTAAATATGGAAAATCTGAAGAATGCAGTAAGTTTAATTCAGCTACTATAATGAATTTGAAAATAAAATAGACCAAATGTAGAAATGCTAATGATTCTACAGTAAATTAAAGCTACTAAGAATTTTTTTTAAAAGAATTCACCAAAGTTCAATGTGGCACTCTTCTATTTGGAGTTTTATGTTTTAATTACTTATTCATGGAAAAGAAACAGGAAACAGGAAAAAAACATATTTATCTGCCTCCTTAAGGAATGTATGTCTACATAAGTAAAGACATCTTTTAAATCCTTTAGAATTTCATTCAGCCTACCAGCAAAATCTTTTAAATAAAATGCTCATTCAAAATCAACAATTTTCAGATAACATTTAATATTCTTTGGGTTATTCTTTATATTTTTCTTCTATAAATTTGAAACAGGCCACAAACATTGAAAGGACTGCTTTGGTTCACCAGAGATGAATAATTCAAAGCTACTACACTGGTGAGATCTGACAATCTCCAAATCATTTCACACGTTAGAACTATCTGCTTAACAGCTTACCTTCGGGTGTATAAGAGTCTCTTGCTCGCATTTCACATCATCCACATCACAAGGTTGTTCAGTCATTTTCTTGGTCTAAAATTTAACTCAGGATATAATACTTCAGATATTATCCTGTGATTTGTACCAGGCCTTTTCGTTAAGTAATAAGGAATCTCAGAACTGCTGGCAATAGCAGTTGCAAAAGTGTTACAGAAAAATGAAAGTAGCAAAGTTCACAGATAACATTTGTGTTTAATGCAGATAGGTTGGGCTGCCAGGAATGACTGGGAGACACCTGTTAAATACATGTCAATCACTGACAGGCAGTATGCAATTATGTAACATACAGGTGTGGCAAACACAAGCCCAGCTCTTAATCGTGTACGAGCCTAAGACAGTATGGTCATCAGATAAAGAGTTTCTGCAGGTAAAGTTAGTATATACAGTAACTTGCAAAATAAATAAAATCACTAAAAGAAATTATTTAGAATTTTTGTATGGCTATTAATCTAGTCTTCTTAGAAAACAGTTATCTTATCATTAANACACACACACACACACACACACACACACAGCTGGATAAAAGTATATAAGCCCAGCTTCACTGATTACAAGTTTGAAAAGGCAATGTAGCTCCACCTGCAATCAAAGGCTCGGATTGGAAGGCAGCAGAGGAATGGGGGCAGGGTATGGCAGAGGAGCTGCTTTCAAGACATTGGAAAATATATCCAATCCAACTTCTGTGTTTGTTTGAGAGTGAGTGAGTGAGTGAGAGACGGATCCAACTTCTCTGTGTGCGTGTGTCTGTTTGAGAGAGGGGGGAGGGAGGGAGGGAGGAAGGAGAGGGAGGGAGAAGAAAAAGAATGGAGAAAAAATGCTGTCGCTTTAAATCGGAACTGAGCATGCCTGGCTGTAGAATTCTGGGAGTTGAAGTCCACAAGTCTAAAAAAATTTGAAACCCCTGTGTCACTGCCTCACCAGCCATAAACCTCACCGCATGTCACTACTTGATTTGTAGAATACTGATTATTCTTAGTGCCATGTTCAAAGCACAGTTATGGACAGCTCACTTCTGGCTCTAGCATTTTTTCTTTGGTTATGCCATGCTATCCTGTTCATTAGCCTTACAGGCACCTGGAATGACATAAAAGTAGATTGATAGTTCCTGCCCTTTTACAGATATGACACATAGACAAAAGAGTCTGGTAAAAATGAGGGGTAAATGAAGCCTGTTTTTAAAATTATAATTTGTATAGTCACTAGGTAGAGAAACAGAATGCATGGCCTTTTAAAATAATGATTATACTACCATTACTCGCTGATAGGAATCAATTGAAGGAAAGTCAGAAGTTAAGTTGAAATACCAGAGAACACTGGTTCATTGATGCCCTATTTGTGTATATAGCAATATTTATATGGTTAGTGTTTTCATGAAATGCTAGAATATAAATTCATAAAATAATATGAAAAATATTAATTGCAACAGAAACTTGCGGTACATATAAACGTATAATGATTAGTTTGGATTATTGGAACCTACTTGCCCCTGTTTAACCCACCACCTGTTAACCCACTGCATGTAAAACCTGTGAGAAGCACTCTTGATAATATTTTCATCCTAAACCTGACAGATTAGAATGCGGCTGTTTGTAACAGTGATAATGTCAAAGATCTTTGTAACAGTCGCTCTGCACAGGAAGTTCCAGTGGTATCTTCAAGATCTTCTAATCTTGTAAATCCAGAATGCCCATGCTTATGATTTGTGCAGCATCTATTTCATAATCGAATATGTCAATTTTGCAAGTATTTCCAATTTTAGTTGGTACCAAATTAGAAGAGGCAAGAGGAATCAACCTACATACATTTAAACTGCAAAATATTTTATCCTACATCCCAGTGAATTACCTAGTTAGATAATGAAATGTATACAAGCAAATAACAAAGCTCAGAGAACATCAAGGACTCCATAGTTCAATTTTGAGTACATATCTTATCCTCTATTATTTACAGTACACCCCACTTTGAAGCTCATTTACATTAAATTGATTACTTTAGGTTCTAGGGGTTTTGTTTTAGACTAATCAAAAAACTGTTTTGCTGTGGTTTACAGTGCTGCTTTAGAATATATTTGTGATTTTTATCTATGTTTAATTTAAAAAAAAATAGCTATAGCTTGTCAAGGTTTCAATGCATATTTAAAATGTAATAAATGTTTTAAATAAGCTACAGTATTTAAAATACAAGGATGCATATAAACTACTAGTAGATCTCCCATGTACAGCTGAATGGAAGATTACATGACACGTTATGAAAGTCGAATTTATAGTGCAATAAATATTAACAAATATGAAAATATGAAAATGAAAGCACAACTAGTACTTTAATCTGAATAATAGTTGACATGTTTATAGTTTGTGAAACAGCATCCTTTTATTAAAGATTACTTCTTTGAACCAACAGCAATTATATTAGTGTGATAATTGAGATCAAGATGATTTAACTCACATGACATATCACCATGCATTTGAACTTGACACGTACATCTTGTTGCTGTATAGTCTACTAATCTGCTTGGAGTTCTAAGCTCTATCCCACTCAGTATTTCACTTGCCTGTTGGAACAACTATTATATCACCACATTGTACTCTTATTTGCCTTTATTTTGGATTTAATAATTGCTTACAACAGAGCTAATAATTATAACAAGAGAAAAAGGAAAATATGGTAACATCAATTTATGTACTTCAAACTTTAGATATGCTCAATAGCTGTGTAATGATTAATAGTCTGGAAATACCTTTATTTCACTTCATCACACTTTCCACTCTGAATCAAAGACTGTGTGATTTATGTTAAATACAATGCTAAAATGTACGAAGTGGTTAGAGAAAAACACAAAAAAAATATACTGTAGCTCCTTACCCAAATATCTTTAAAGTGTTATACTGTATCCTGTTTAGATCACATTTTCTGCAATAATCTAGGAGTTAAATTTTAATTGTATGTAGATGTGGATATGTATATATGTGTTTCCACTTTTTTGTCTCTCCTTCTGGCATAGCCTTTTATTATGTAGAAAAAAACAGTTTAATTCAGAAAGGAGAAGGAAGACAAGGACGCATATTGTCTCCCAATTACTTCTGATTGACTTGGAGAATAGGAAACAAAATTTGAAATCACGACACTCACGATTTGAGATATGCTAGTGATAATATTTTGTTCACCACATACTAGGGAAGTAACATTTGAAAGTGAAAAATCTGGATCAATATTAAGTTTTAAGATGACAAAATAATAGCAAGCAGTGAATTTACAACTGATAGGAAAGAAGTGAAAGTGGCAGTGAATATTATTTTCTTGCTCTCAAAATTAAAAATGGACCATGGAAGACAAAGAGAGACAAGGTAAACAATTATAAAGGTACTTGGGTTATCACAAAGATTAAAATAAGAAAAGCAGTGATCTTTCCAGTGGTAATATTCATCGGTAAAAGAGCCAAAGTTTGGATCTTCAATGGGGAAACATCCCAGTGGAGGCAGTTGATGGATTAACAACAGATCCAACCTCCCTCCCCCATCCTGCTCCTGCCCTCCCAATCTTTTAATTAGGCTAGGCCACAGTGTTTGACTTTTTGTATTAACCTATGTTAATACACCCCCACTGTGCTCTCCTGCTCCCCATGCATGTGCACGTGACACACACACTGCGGCCCATTTTCGGCCTAGCAGGCCTCCCTGCAGCCTCCTGGGACCAAAAATGGAGTGCAGGGGGATCGCTGCACTCCCGTGCTCCTCTCTCCCCCATGCATGCACACATGACCCCATCTGCCCCCTCATGCATGCACATGCATCTTCCGCATGCCCCATGCCCCCCGCACATGCACAGCAGAGATCCAAAAATCAGCTGGCTGGCAAGAGGCGCATGCGCATACATGGTGGAGCTGAGCTGGGGCAATGGCTCCATGTGCCACCTGTGGCACGCGTGCTATAGATTCGCCAACACATGTATATAGTGTTTATGTTTTATGATTGTAAGAAAGGGAGAGGCAGAGAGAGGGGGGGGGAGAATGAATCACATTGGAATTATAGATTTGGAGACAAGTAGCTCCATTCAACTGTGCAAGAATCAATCAATTCATTTTGGACTAAATAAACATTGTTTTTATAAGGTAATGGTCATAAACCAAAAAGGGACATACTTTGGCATGTGATGGTGGCCTTATATTTTTTTTCTGTGCTTTGCAAGGCTGAAGGAAATAGGAAAAGGGAGGAACAATGGATAAGATGAAGAGATGGAATCCAAGAAATTGTTGAAATGTTCTTGGAGCAACAAGTTATTTCCAAGGGCAGGTTAAAAAGGCGGCATTTGTCCATCACCCAGGAACTGAGCTGGACTCAATGGCATCTAAAGCCCAGAAATAAGATTATTCCCTTCTTTTCCAAGAAGAGAAAAATAGAGGATAGTAGAAGAAAGTAACGTGGCTGGCTCAATAGCTTATCTAAGATAAAATATATAAGCAATTCTTGAGACTGCTTTTTGAGATTACTCAAAAACTTTAGTTGGAGCAAAATGAAACAATCTTAAATTAGGGATATGAGCTGCTCTAGTAGTACATAAAACCAATATTGGGAACACTGTATTAAGAGAAATTTGTTTCTGGAAACAATCCAAAGTAATTATTATTATTTACAAAGCTTTACCTAGCAACTTGCTGTTACCTAAGGACCTGCCTATCCAGACAAAATCTATTTGCCTCTCTCATTTATGAGATGCTATTTTTGAGTTGTAGTTGTTGTTGTTGTTGTTGTTGTTGTTATTCAAAGTAAAACACTGAGTGAAGAAAATGACATTCTTACAAACAACCCTAAATATATTTAATAAGAATGAAATCCCACAGAATTTTTCATTCTAATTAGTGTCTATGATTGTAGCCTTGATCATTATTTAACTGATATTTCAATAAATCCAAGATATAGTATCTTAAATTATACAAAATATAATATATTTGTATCATGTTGTTGAAATATTTTGCTTCTTCTGCATGCATAAGAGGCTAAGAGTTACAATTAAAAATCTTAATATCATATTGGACATGAATAATTAATAACTGCCAGGTTATTAATATTTTAACTCTAATTCTCTTTTTTACAAAGAGCTAAATCATGTCTGGTTTATTTCACACTATACATATTTAGCTATTCCGATTCAAAATTAATTCTGTTGAATCCTATGCTGATCCTTGCATAAATAATTCTTATACTTAAATTTTACTTTAGACTTTCTTTTCAAGGATTCAAAAGAGAATACCAAGTTCTTTTTACTCACTCTCTGACCCAATTTTCTTAGTAAGCTTAGTTGGTAAGACAGGACTGAGATATAGCAACTGGTCCACAGTTATCTCTTTTATCATGATAAATCTTTGTTCTTAGGTCAATAACAAACTGCAATGAATATGAACAGAATTGCAGAAAAT